CTTTAATTCAATCTTCTGTTTTTTATCACATGTTGTTTAAGATCAAAGCTATGAAAGCCAAACAAAAGCCTGGAGTTATCATAAACATGGGCTCAGCTGCTGGTCTTTATCCTATGACCTTTGATCCTATCTACTCTGCTGCCAAAGGTTTTGTTTCTCTTTATTATTTATTTTTCATATTTCATTGTATACTTTTTTTTTCTGTCAAATTTCAATATGTAACCATTTCTATAGGTGGGGTTGTGTTATTCACTAGATCATTAGCATATTTAAAGCGTCAAGGGATCCGTATCAATGTGCTTTGCCCTGAAGTAAGAAGAATATCTCTAATGTCTCTCAGAATATTTGATTATTGAGCTGTTTAAATGTATATGTATATGATAAAATAGCTGAGTGTTGCCTTAAGTTTTGGCTCTTGCACTTGTGTTGTGCAGTTTATCCAGACAGACTTAGCTGAAGCTATTGGTGCTTCTTTCCTTCAGTCAATAGGCGGTTACATGCCTATGGACATGTTGATTAAAGGTATGTTAAAAGACTTTCTCTTTCATACTAGATAAACTAGCTTTCTCCCACATGGTTTATTGGTTAAGTGAAAAGTGGACTAGTACAGAAAGAATTGGAACACATGAATACTGTTTTAGTGATTTTGTTAATTTTATTTTTTAATCTCTAGGTGCTTTTGAGCTTATAACCGACGAGAGTAAAGCTGGTGCATGTCTATGGATCAGCAACCGCAGGGGTTTGGAGTATTGGCCGACTCCAATGGAACAAGCAAAGTACTTGGTTGGTTCAAGTTCCCGCAAAAAGACTTCCTTTAAAGTAACAAAAGCTATTGAACTTCCTCAAAGCTTCGAGAAGATGTAAGTTAATATGTTACTACGTGAGACCATAACATATTGTGTTTCTATCTTACTCTTAGACTAATGTCTTACTCTCTCCTTCAGAATTGTACACGCTTTGTCTCATAATTTCCGGAATGCTACCCGCATAGTCCGGACACCACTAAAGTTACCCATTGGACCAAACCAAGTTCTTTTGAAAATCATCTATGCTGGTGTTAACGCAAGTGATGTAAGATCTCTATGCTTATCATACCACACATAACATGAGAGTTTAGCAGTCTAAAAAATATGATTGGCCTGTTGTTGGAAACCGTGAGCAGGTAAACTTTAGCTCAGGCCGTTACTTCAGCGGTGGCTCGCATAAGCTTCCCTTTGATGCTGGATTTGAGGTACTTAAATGTTGAATTCAACCTCTCCAGGCTTTTGGTTGACCATGTTCAAAACTCTAAAGTTGTTACACTTAATTTTTCAGGGAGTTGGACTAATTGCAGCGGTGGGAGAATCTGTAAAGAATTTGCAAGTTGGGACTCCAGCTGCTGTTATGACATTTGGAGCATATGCTGAATACATGATAGTATGAGATAAACCACTTGAAAGAAAAATTTATAGAGATTTTTAAAAGGCTTGATCCTGTCTTGTATTGTGGATATAGGTTTCTGCTAAGCACGTTCTCCCTGTTCCAAAGCCAGATCCAGAAGTTGTAGCCATGCTTACCTCAGGATTAACTGCTTTAACCGCCCTTGAAAAGGTACTGACGAGAGCTTTGTTAACTATCTGCTTGAAACCTGTTGTATATATTACCTTGTATCTTTTAAAACATATGGGATACGCAGTTTGAAAGTTTTCATTTTCTTGTGGGATTATTCACAGGCAGGACAGATGAAATCAGGTGAAACAGTACTTGTGACTGCTGCTGCAGGAGGGACTGGACAATTTGCAGTCCAGGTATACAAATGTCTGAACTTGAATCTCTGATGTTTATGTTTTATAATTGTTTAAAGTATTAACCAATAACTATATCATATGTTGTTGTAATGATAAACGTAACATAGATCATATTGTTTTTTATCTGTTGAAGTATTTATAGCTGAACTATAGATAATGTGAGATTCTCTATGCAGCTTGCAAAGCTAGCTGGAAATAAGGTGATTGCTACTTGTGGAGGATCAGAGAAGGCCAAGCTATTAAAAGAGCTTGGGGTCGACCGAGTCATAGATTATAAAGCCGAGGATATCAAGACGGTAGGTTTCGTATAGAAACTCTAGTTCTGTAATAGTATTATATGGCAATAGAGGATTCTATTATTCATGATGTGATATGATCATCACAGGTCCTGAAAAAAGAGTTTCCAAAGGGTGTGGATATCATATATGAATCTGTAGGTGGTAAAATGTTTGATCTGTGCTTGAATGCTCTGGCTGTTTATGGACGACTCATAGTGATTGGAATGATCTCTCAGGTTCCCTATCATCATCAATTCCCTATACATTTAGTTCTTGTGTGTTTATTCAAGATTTTGAAATAGTATATTCGAACTTGATATCTCTTGTCAGTATCAAGGGGAGAAGGGATGGCAGCCCGCAAACTATCCAGGGCTGTGCGAGAAAATTCTTGCAAAAAGCCAAACTGTGGTATGCTATCAGCTTTGTTCTCTCTACCTTTGTCATATTCAGTTCAAGTAATTTTTTGACAATGTTATTTCGAATCAAACTGCTAAATCAAGATTAATTAATGTTTTAAGAAACTCATACTGGTAAACTGAATACTGTTTTCAGGCTGGTTTCTTTCTGGTGCAATATAGTCAAGTCTGGAAACAAAATCTTGACAAGTTATTCAATCTTTACTCTCTTGGAAAGCTTAAGGTAACAATAGATAAGATTGAGCGCCTTACCTTAAAGCACACGTTTCTTTTGTCCACCAAAAAAGCCTTTTTGTTGCCACTATTGGTAGGTTGGGATTGATCAGAAGAAGTTTATAGGTCTAAACACTGTTTCAGATGCTGTTGAGTATCTGCACTCGGGTAAAAGCACCGGAAAGGTAAGTAATAAATCCTCTTTTTACCAACAGAAAAGTTAGAAGAACCTAAGTTTTCATGGGGCCAATGAACATAGAAACATACAATTTTTTTAAGGTCACATGATTCAGAAAGCCATTTACATATTCATAAAAAGCATGCTGGAGGTTTTGTTACATTTTCAGTTATGCAGTTTATAGTTCCAAATTTTTGGCAGGTTGTCGTTTGCATGGATCCTACATTTGAGCAGACAACGTCAAGGCTGTGAACAAAAAATCGAAATCCAGTTTGAGATACAGTAAAAGAATCCCTAGGATGGGATTTTTTTTTTGGTGGGTGACTAAAAGTTGTTTAGCTTTACATATAAATGTGGGGAATAAGTTGTTTAATGTCATTGGACTCTCTCGTTAATAAGCGAATGACATTATTTAATGTGGCAAATCCACTCTCTATGCCTTTAAATATTAACTCAAATCCTGTTAGAGAGTTGAGGCGATCTTTCTTTCTACATGTTGAACTTACAACCTCCTACTCTAAAACCTTTTCAGCAAACTCTTGTCATTTATTTTTGGAACTCCACATTTTACATTGACAAAGTTTTTTCACATTTGAAGAGGAATCCTCAGATGTACAGAAAAAATCCATAACTATCTTTCACAACCAAGTTTCATTCGATACTACTACACAATACAGTACATGAATCCTTATTATCTATGTCATCAAGCCTATAAGCTTTTCTTGATCTCTTTCTTAGAAGAATCAAGAAAAAGCAAAAGGAACCAAATCACCTCGTAAAGATACCTATATCAGGTTACAGTCTCATCTTCTTGCAGATTGTACTTTCCCACTAGGTTCAGTTTCTTTCTCTCTCGTTTGTATCCAAAAGAATATACAGACGAAGTCTTGGTCATTATGTAAGTACCTGACACGAAAAAGGAATTTTAGGCGTGCATGCAACTAGGACAAGTGACATTCAGACAATAGTCAACATATCATATGAAACTATGAACCTGACAAAGGCCAATGATTAAAGATATATAGAGAAACCATGTCAATGTCTTATACTTCATTTACAATGGTTAACAAAAACCTTACCGTTGGATTTAAAATCCTTGTAAATCCACAAGATACAGAGACCAACCTCCTTGCAACTGTTCAGCTTTTATAGATTCAGATTCCATCGTCCTACCGACCATTCTTGATACACATCCACCAACTTTAGGATAACTCGATGGTAAAAACCCTAAGAACCAGCCTAGCTCACATTAAGGTTTACCCACAGTACACCACAGATACATCAGAACAACAATGACTTTGGCCTTTTAATGTATACATATAGCCTCATAATCATAACCACGTACCCAATCCGAACCCAAAAAGATGGTATACAAATCCACTATTCATAGTACCTTGAAAATTTATTAGAAATAGTATTCTGAAAAATTATCAATAGTCTATGAGAGTGAGTACAAGCTACATGATTGCATTAGAGCAACAGAAAAGTATTCTGCATACATATTCTGATCTATCACAAGTTCACAACTACCGCAGTTAAATTTTTGGAGAGCGCAAAATAAAAACCGCACTTAACTAAAACTGCAATGACCCAGTTTTTGACTCGTTTCCAAACTAACTCTTTCATATGCGTTCTGCTTCTGAGAAAAAACGATTTTCAGATAATTACCATCGTTTCAGTCATCAAAGGCTCATCGTTCTTCCCTTAAGATGACTAGCACATGCAAGAAGCATAATAAAGAGCACAAGTGATAGCACATGCAAGAAGCATAATAAAGAGCACAAGTGATGATCATTTATTCTCTTCGTTTATATGCAAGCCACATATTAGAAAGGCACAAGTGATGCCACGTGTTGGGTCTGTGATTCTCTTTGTTGTATGCAAGAAGCATAATGGGGTATGCAAGAAGCATGTTTGTGTTATGCAAGAAGCATAATGTGGCATGTAACTATGTAAGAAGCATAATGTGGCATGTAACTATGCAAGAAGCATGTTCGTGTGTATGCAAGAAGCATGTTCATGTGTAAGCAAGAAGTATAACGTGTCTTATGCAAGAAGCATAACGTGTGTATGCAAGAAGCATGTTCATGTGTATGCAAGAAGCATGTTCATGTGTATGCAAGAAGCATAACGTGTCTTATGCAAGAAGCATAACGTGTGAATGCAAGAAGCATAACGTGTGAATGCAAGAAGCATGTTCTTGGTATGCAAGAAGCATATGATATGAGCAAGAAAGTAAACCGAGAGACACAGGGGAGCACACACACACAGAGGAGGAATGGAGAGCCGGGCAAAAGAAAGAAAATAAACCAATCCCATACCATCTCCCATCCCTCCGCAGAACCAATAAACTGTCATTTTTTATTAAGGGTTTGTTTTGTGACCTGCCAAGCAAGCGCACCTGTCATGGCAAAGGTCATATACATCCCCCTATCTTATCTTATCTTTCTTCTCTTTTTTCGTTTGAGAGCCCAAACAAAACATGTGCAAGAGTTACAAGATAGCGCAACAAGAAGATACCAGGACTAAGATCGCTCCTCTTTATACAAGGACTTGTCGTGGTTTTGTTGATCAAGCATAACTGATCAGATCTCGCTTATCCCTTCCCTACGGAATTACGAATCTCCAAAAGTTAGTTAACGGTGTCGACGAGATCCAACACTATACCCGAACGAGATCAAGAAAACGTAGGCACAGACAAGAACGTACCTTGATGAACGGCTGGTACAGATCGATCAATCACGAATAGCGGCATAAGGATCAGCTTCACCCGGATCGAGCGCAAACCCTAACAAGAGAACAAACGCCTATTAGCGGGGGGACTTGTGTGAAGATCAAGGGAATGTCAACTTCTTATATAGAACCTCAGAATCCGAGTCGGTTTCAAATTTCGTGGCTATCATATAGATCCTACGGTCTCAAATTGTTGACGTGTCAATTAATCAACGGTGAAGATGAAATACAAGGAGAAAAGGCGGTTAAGACATAGCAAGATTTATTAGAGCATCATTAACCCATATACTCTAAATGGGTCTCTTATTTATTTTCTAATACTTTTTAATTGTTAAAGTGAATTAAGAGACTAAATTAATAGACCCATAAATTTACATGCTCCAATGCATGTCTCTTAAATAAAGGTTTTTAAAAAGTTTTTTGCTTTCAATATATTTCAAAAGGCTAACCTTGAGTAACAAGTTAAAAAAATGGTGAGACTTCTCAGCCCTTCTTCATCGTATTTGCTCTTCTTAGCTGATGATTGCCATAGCCCTGGCTTGTTCTTTACCCCGCTTTGAGCTAGAGAGTACATGGCTCTGTCTGTTATGTTTCTGCAGTAGTATAAGCCCAATGATCTTTAGTAGACACACCAATCAGCTAATCCATCATCACTGATCTTCACACACCATCCTAAGTTTAGTGATTGCATCTGATTGCAGTTATTCCCAATAGCCTACACACCAGGAAGAATGATTATTGTAACAAAAATACCAATACAACCATGCTAATAGATAGGCAAAACCCAACTCCAAAACATGTCTTCATATAATGGTGAGGAATACAAGTCAAACATATGAATTGAGCAAGAAAAGTAAAACAATTAACACTTAGGGAGAAAGCATAGCAAATATTGTTTTATTGAAATTGTTAGCCATAGAAAATCTTCTTCACACAAAAACATCATAAAATTAAGCGTATGAATACTGCATATCTTGCAACAAGAGACAAAACCTGCAAAAAAAAAACAGAGGATCTCACCAAGCAAATGAGCACACACTCAAAGTTGCAGAGCAGAGAAAAAACCCTCCCAAACAACACAAAGTTACTCAATAACTATTCAGCTGCAATCAATCTGATTAAAAGGATTAATTAGTCTTTTAGATTGCTGATCAAAAGACTCCATAAAGTTTGCAACTTTGAGATAAACTTCAAAAACCCAGAAACGCAAGAACATATTAAGTCAAAGAAATCAATTTCACCTAACTAATGCGTCTGGATACGGTCTTGATCCATCATCAGATCCTTCAGAGACGAAGAAATCACCGTTGGAGTCGTCAAAGGGAGAGAGAGTTGCTGTGATTTCGATGAAACCGAAGAAGGGAAAGACACACATGTTTGCTTCTCTTCGCTCACAGGACAACACGTGTCTGAAGATACGGTATCAAGCTTCCCTTAATTAGGATACGTTTTCAGTTAATTAACTCAATTTTCTTTTTCTTTTAATTCAATAAATGCCTAGATACGGGGGTTGAATACCGCGTTAATGCTGCTCTTAATCCTGGAAAGGTTACGTGTCCTATCCTATTCTCTTAGAGCATCACAAAGCGCATAAAATTAAAGAAATGTACCATCGTAGCATTGCAGCATTTGTATTATTTGGGTTTTTAGCATCAAGACTCAGTTCAGGACCGAGAAGTTTGTTTATACGCCTGAGCAGACGATAATAGTAATGTCTAACCTGAAAAAAGCACAGCAAGTTTCCACCACAATGATGAGAAACTAAAACAAACAGCAGCAAAGTGCGAGTGAAAAGGAAACAAAACTCAGTGGTCTATCAACCAACCTGGTCCTTGTTTTTGCTTTGGACACGAGAAGTAATCTTCGCAAATTTCAGGAAAGAAAAATCAACACAAAGAAAATGTCACTTATCCAAAACCCCCAAAAAAAAGAGAGAAAGAAAGAGGCTTAAACGCATTCAAACTTCAACAGCTAAAATATTACCTTTCCAACTTGACGAAGAGCAGAGGCCAAGCAGCCCATTGCCTAGTTGGCTTCTTAGCTGCATACATAACATTAACAATCCCATAAGTAATCAACTCAGCTCAACAAACAAAGCAGAAACCTCTGAATGAATGCAACACCATATACCAGGAAACTGAGCAACACTGATAGAAGCCGATTAGCCGAACCGGTATTGTTGGAGAGATGAAGTCGTAGTTTATAAGGTACCACATCTGGTCTCATTCCTTGTGTCTAAAAAATAGGAAAGACATTTAGATACTCACTTCGATGGAACTGTAAGTCTGTAACCATATCAACAAAGCGTCTAAGGAGAAGACGTTACCATTAATCTTGTTTTGACAACCCAAAGTGGATTAGTTGCAATAGATGTTGAAGCTCCAGTCCCAGCACTAGCTACCATGTTCGCCCCAATACTTAGATTTCCATCTATCACGAGAATATTAACAAGATTTAAAAAATAATAATACTAAGCAGAATAAAGCCCCCAAAAAAAAAAAAATTGTGATGCAGAGTAGTTGACCACATACCACATGAGTGGAGAGGATCATTTAACTTTCCATAAACAGAGAAGTACACCTGCAGAAAGACATGAAGATCTCTAATGCCATTTGGATGATCATAACTAACAAAGAGAGCAAGTTCTAATCAAGTGGAAACTCACAGCCCAATTTGGAAGGAGAGCTATGATGCTTGGTGAAAGGCCTCTATACACAAGAAATGGTGTGTACTTACAAGATGGGCAAGCACTTCACAATCACTCCCAGTATGGGCACTTGTGAGACTTCAGACTTTCACTTATACGCAAAGCCTTGTGGTTGTATATATCTCCATTGACCTGAAAGCATATGGGAATCATTGTAAAGTTTGAGTTTTTAACCCATATCATGAGACTAGAACACAAGCCAACAATGTACCGTGACAACAACGATCTTGTCTTCGCTGTAGAGAGGTTGGTCTCCAGAAATGGGGTCAATCTACACAAACATTTTCGTAAACAGATCTTAAACCATTCAATCAATCTTCCAAGATTACATGCATTTGATCTTCCCACAAGATATAGAGCTTTTCATTTAACAAAGTCACATCATTTCACCCATAAAGTTTGAAACTGTTCTCATCCAAATTAAACCCCAATAACGTTAAGAACATTACACAGTGTAAGAGATGACTTTGATGGATTGAGAGAATACCTGCGAGAGTTATCGACGCAGCCTAGAACAGCAAGAATCCCACACATGGTAAATGGTAACAGAACGGAGAGAGAGAGAGAGGAGGAGAAGAACAATGGAAGAAGATGTACGGGGAGTGGCGAGAGACAGAGAGGAAGACATGAGACGGCTCTTCCATTGCTTAATTATAAGATACGTCTTCTGTTGTTTCTTCAAAAAGGCATGCAATAGGTAGATAGATCTCCTGATACTAAAGCACAACCTCGTGATTATCGTTTCAACCAAAGTATTTCCTAGTCTTCCTCCCCCTCATCAAAGTTCTTTGAAAGCTTTAGTGTAACGCTTGATCTCAAGTTAGTATTTTAAAAAAGAAAAAAAAAACTCTAATTCTTCTTTGTCTTTTTCTGCAGAATCACATTAGAAATTGGTAGGCGTGTTCCATTCTCTCTCTCTCTTTCTTTTGGTTATATAAAAAAAAAAAAAAAAAAGCAAAAGTTGATGGCTCCGATGACGAACTGGTTAACGTTTTCACTCTCACCAATGGACATGTTGAGGTCATCTGATTTGTGTTACATTGACAGTGAAGGTTTTGTCTTTGTTGTTGATAGATTTTAAAGAAGAGAAGGAAGAGAAGAAGGTGAAGCATGAGCTTTGTGTTTGCAACCAAGCACCTTTCTTTCGTGAATGGATTATGTATCACTCATGGCTTGGCGTCGAACGTTGGTGGTTGTATTGGGATCACTGGTGTTCGGATACATGTCACTGGAGCTTGGATACAAGCCTTTCCTTGAAAAGGCTGAACAATACCAACGATCTCTTCAATCTCAAGCTTCTCAGCACCAACAACATCAACAACAACAACAAGGTCTGCTGTATCCACTTTCTGTCTTTCCAAGCTCAATTCTTTCGTTTGTGTAATCAGAGGTAGATCTATTATGCCGTGTGAATGTGTGTGTGTGACTGTGTTTCATCTTCTTGTGGTTTCAGGTTTTAGGAAGGTTTTAGATAAGTTTGTTGTGTGAGATTCGTGTATGTGTTTGTGTTGATCATCTTGTGTGTGTGTGTTTAATGTTTAAGGTTTAGAAGAATTTTATTGTTGGTTCTTCTCGAAGAAGAGTGGTATATAAAGGTTAAGCTCTTGTGTCTATGTATGTGGTGTTTTGACTCACTCTATAGGCCAAAAGGATGTATGTGTGTGTGTTTCTAACACTTTGTGTTAGGAAAATTAGATGGTTGAATTAGTTGTAAAAGTAGAATGTAAATAGTCACACAATTTTTAAGAACCCCTACGTAAGTACTACCAATAAATCACTAAGATTAAAATTCTCTTAGAAAAACCTCTTAACTTCACTTTAGTATTTAATAAATCACTAAGAACTCTTAAGTGAGTTTCACCAATAAACATGCTCTTATTACATTTTTTTAAATCCCAATTACACTAAGAAACCTATCTAAGAGACATGGATAATGATGTTTTTAATATAAGATTCTCCTAACATTTTAGACAATATTATAGGATTCGCTTCCTAATGTTAGTCCTTGACACATATCTTAAAAGTTAAAACTCGATTTATTTTGAGTAAATGCATTGGGATATAATCCATATTAATTAACTGAAGAGAGATTGTGTTGATTGTTGTATTAATTAACGGTACGGTTTAATCCGCATTGTAATGTTCGCCATTGGCTTTGGTCATTATCTATTGCATCTCTCACTAGTCTTTTCTTTTAAATGCCTTTGAATATTAACTCAAATCTTGTTAGAGAGTTGAAGCGATCTTTCTTTGTACATGTTGAAATTACTCTAAAACCTTTTCATCAAACTCTTGTCATTTATTTTTCAAACTTCACACTTTCACACTGTTGAAGCTTTTTCACATTTGAAGAGTCATCCTCAGATGTACAGAAAAAAATCCATAAGTATCTTCCACAACCAAGTCTCATTCGAGTACTACTACACATTACACACAAATCCTTATTATCTATGCTATCAAGACTATAAGCTTTTCTTGATCTCTTTCTTAAGAAAATCAAGAAAAAGCAAAATGAACTACATCACCTCATAAAGAGACCTATATCAGGTTACAGCCACCTTAGCAGATTGTACTTTCCCGCTAGGTCCAGTTTCTTTCTCTCTCGTTTGAATCCAAAAGAATACATACATACGAAGGCTTTGCTCATTTAGATGGTAATTATGTCAGAGTACCTGACACTAAAAAGGGATTTTAGGCGTCCATGCAACTAGGACACTAGTGTGTGCTGCTGAGAGTGAACTATCAAGTAACATTCAGACAATAGGACAAACAACAAGTTTGCTACACCAGAGGAGACTGCAATAAAAGCCATAGCTGCAGCTAGAGAATGGAACAACTCCCAGAGCAAAGAAACCGTGACCATCAGCAAGAAGAATCTCTCGATCCCGATTCCCTCAAGATCCAACTTGATACGAATTGATGCTGCCTGGAACGAACCTCTATTATTTGTGCGGTCACCTTTGACTGCGGAGGGGCTGGCACTGAGAGCTACTCTTCTTAAAGGCAAAGAACTTAATATAGTTAACGTCCGGTGTGAATCTGACTCGGCTCAGCTTGTTCAAGCCCAGCAATCAAACGACATGCGCATGGATATCTATGGTATCACTGCTGATATCGAAGTGTTTTTTTTTTGTCAACTACTGATATCAAAGTGTTAGCATCAGCTTTTGAAGTTATTACCATTCACTGGATTTCCCGTGAGAGAAACAAAGAAGCCCGACTTTTTGGCTAAACAATGTTTATCGGTTGAGCAAGCATTATATGCTTTAAACTCTGGTACCTAACTTTCTGAAGAGTAATGAATGTTTGTGTTCAAAAAAAAAGAAGTCATCATTCATTATGAAACTATTAACCAGACAAAGGCCAATGATTAAAGGAAAATAGAGAAACACTTCATTTACAATGGTTACCAAAAACCTTACCGTTGGATAATAGTCTCTAAAATCCTTGAAAATCCACAGGATACAGAGACCAACCTCCTTGCAACTGTTCAGCTTTTATAGATTCAGGTTCCATCGTCCTACCAACCATTCTTGAAACACACTCAACCACTTTAGGATACTCGATGGTTAGCCCCCTAAGAACCAGCATAGCTCACATTAAGTGTTACCCACAGACACATGAGAACGACTATTACTTGAGCCAAACCTTTGATTATTAATGTATATATACATATAGCCTTATAATTCATAGCCACGTACCCAATCCAAAAGGTAGTATACCCTTGTTTCAGTCATCAAAGGCTCATCGTTCTAGATGATTAGCACATGCAAGAAACATAATAAAGAGCACAAGTGACGCTCATTGATTCTCTTTGTTTATATGCAAGCCGCATATTAGAAAGGCACAAGTGATGCCACAATGTTGGGTCTGTAATTCTCTTTATGGTATGCAAAAAAGCATAATGGGGTATGCAGCATAATGGGTTATGCAAGAAGCATGTTCTTGTTATGCAAGAAGCATATTGTGTCATGCAAGAAGCATGTTTATGGTATGCACGAAGCATAACATGTATATGCAAGAAGCATATTGTGGCATACTGGCATGCAAGAAGCATGTTCGTGGTATGCAAGAAGCATAACATGGTATCTGAAAAAAAGCATGTGGTGGCATGCAAAAAGCATGTTCGTGTCTTGCAAGAAGCATTGTGTGTTATGCAAGAAGCGTAGCGTGTGAATGCAAGAAGAATATGATATGAGCAAGAAAGTGAAAATGAGAGACACTGTGGAGCACACACACAGAGCGGAGGAAGGGGGAGCCGTGAAAACGAAAGAAGATAAACCAATTCCGTACCTTCTCCCAACCCTCTGCAGAACCAAAACTCTTTTTCTATTAAGGGTTTGTTTGTGACCTGCCAAGCAAGTGCACCTGTCATGGCAAAGGTCATATACATTCCCTATCTATCTTTCTTTTTTCGTTTGAGAGCCCAAACAAATCATTGTGCAAGAGTTACAAGATAACGCAATAAGAAGACACGATCGCTCCTCTTTACACACGGACTTGTCGTTGTTTGTTGATATGCAACGAGAATTTATCAGAACTCAATCATAAGTAAGTTACCTGTATCGAGGAGATCCAACGCAAGACCTGAAAGAGTGTAGCAAACGAAATCGAGAAACCCTAGGCATAGAAAAGAACATACATCAATGAACGCAGACGGCTGGAAAAAAGTCGATCGATCAAGAAGAGCGGCTAAGGATCAGCGTCACCCGGATCGAGCCCAAACCCTAACAAGAGAACCATCGCCTAATTAGCGGGAAACATGGGAAAACATCAGGAATAAGAAGTTGACCACTTCTTATATAGAACTCCAGAATGAGTCGGTTTCAAATTTTGTGGCTATTAGAGAGATCCTACGGTCAAAAATTGCTGACGTGTAAATTAATGTTGTTGGTTCCTACATATTGTATTTTTTTATCTTAGAGCATCATATCTTATAACATATCTTAGCTTAAATCTGTATTTAATTTAAATGAAAATTAGGCAATAACACGAAGGACACTCTTAGCTAAGATATAATTTGTCGCGTCCTTAGGTGATACGTGGCTAGCTTGGAATGGTCGATGAAAAGCGGTGAGGGCAAAACCAATTTTGTCTTTCAGTTTGTGTATCCTCGTAAAGATGAAGGAAGGATGATGCTTCGGTGTTCTTCGTAAAGAAATGATTTTTATATAGAGAAAATGACTAGAATAGACCTAAAAAAATATTTTATCACAAATATAGAACTTAACAATTAAAAAGACCAAAATAGCATTTAAATGTTTTATTAAATATATATTTATTCCCTTTGGGTTAACTAATTCTAGATTTTTTTGTTTAGAGTTGAGGAGTGGGGTTTTGGGGATAAGGTTTCAAATTAAAAAAAAACTTAAAATTTTCAAAATAAAAAGTGCTATTTTGGTCATTTTAATTTTTAAGGTCTATTTTGTGATAAAAAACTTAAAAGAGGGCTATTTGAGAGAATTGTCCTTTTATATATAAGAGAGAAGGAACGTAATCAACTTGAGCTTTGACTTAGCAACAACCAGTTTCGCCTTCCTTTCGTCTTTGTTACGATCCAATAATACAAAATCACAGATGGGTTCGCTGAAGAACGACGAAGAGATTGGAGGAGAACTTATGGAGGCGATACTCTACGTTAACGGCGTTCGTAGAGTGTTGCCTGATGGTTTTGGCTCATATGACACTTCTTGAATACCTCAGAGGTGCGTTAACTTATACTACAGAACCTCTGTTTTTTTACTGTTTTTCTTTTGTTCTGTTCGATTAAGAATCTGGATCAATTGAATATTCCTACATATGCAGTTACTTGTTTGTGGTGCCACGTAGCTGTCTTTTGATCCACTATGTCTGTCTTAATATGAAGATGATTGAGTTATATATAGATTTGTTTTGAAAAATCATAGTGGTTTTGTTGTTATTAATCGATCATGAGGTCGTTTTGTAATTTTGAAAATGTGTTTCTTATTTACCTTTAGATATAGGATTAACCGGGACAAAGCTGGGATGCGGTGAAGGTGGTTGTAGGGCTTGTACAGTGATGGTCTCTAACTATGACATGAAATCCAAGACTTGCGTGTGAGTATTATATTTTCCTCTGTTATGTTTGCACTCTACTTTGCTTAAAGCTTTGGCCTTAACTGAAAAATGTTTATTGCAGGCATTATGCTGTCAAGGCTTGCTTGGCACCTCTGCATTATGTAGAAGGGATGCATATCATTTCCATTGAGGGAGTTGGGCATCACAAACTTGGCTTGCACCCACTTCAGGTAATTTTTCACTTACTTCTTCTCATTTTCGGAGAGTCTATGTTACTTACTGCTAATGCATATTGTTGTGATCTTAATTCTCTCTGAAAACATTGGTGTCTTCTCATGGTTCTCAGTGTGGGTTTTGTACTCCCGGGTTTATTATGTCCATGTATGCGATATTGAGGTCAAGTAAGAACTCACTTGTATGCGTTAATGATATCGAGGTCAAGTAAGAACTCACCATGTATGCGTTAATGAAGGTAGAATCCAATCCATCACTTACAGTGATATGGATGGAGCTAAGTATACAGAAAAGGAGCTTACTTTCACCCTGAGCTTTTGTTGAGGAAATTATCTCCTCTGAAGTTGAGAGGAAATGGGGGACCCACCTGGTTTAGACCTGTATGCCTTCAGAACTTGCTTGAGCTCAAAGCAAACTATCCTGATGCTAAGTTACTAGTAGGGAATACAGAGGTGGGAATCGAAATGAGACTGAAGAGGTTACAGTATCCAGTGCTAATATATGTTGCTCAAGTCCCAGAGCTCAACTCATTCAATGTCGATGACATAATGTATACCCCACTATAGAGACCTTCCCACCCTCCCATGTATCAGCTGTTCAACCTGTTCCTCGGTTATCTAGAATTGGAAAACAAGACTATGCATGGGACTGTAAAACAGGGAACATCTGTTGGCAAACCCGGTGAAAAGCGGTGAGGACAACAAAAAGTCCCACCAATAATCACCATTTTTACAAAAAAATCCTTAACAATGTCCTAATCTAAAAATAACAATAAAAAAATCTAAGGACCATCAACTAAGGACAATTGATAATGATGCTCTTACACTAAAATATATCCAGTATGTCCTAACTTGTATATTAAACTGTTACAATTTGTGAAGTTGCTTTTAAGTGACAGTATTTCCATTAGACTACCTGCAATGACCATGTTGAAAAATTAATTCAACAGTTGAAAAGTCACAATGAAACTGTTGAATAATAGAAAAAACATACGTGGATTAAATCTTGTTGAATTCTTTCAACATGTTGAAAGAAGAAAAGTGGGGCCTTCCATTATAGCTTTTGTCAATTCTCAGCCACACAAATTTAAAAAGAGTGTCGATATTGTATTTTTTCGCTTGCTTGAAATTCAAAAAATCTAATTGGTACAGGTGTCACCATATTATTAATTGTTCAAATTTCTTAGATTTTTATTCTCATCCGAATTTTAGAGAACAATTATCTTATATTAAATAATATATTTTAATAAAAATAATTATATCAAAATTCATAACTTTTCATACTCTATAAATAGAGACTTGGTTCATTAGATTTGAACATAAAAAAAATATGTTTTTGACTGCAATGTTGCTATTATTCACTTTTTTGGGTCAAGAATGGATCAAAATAATAACCTTTTTAATAATCAAAACTCCACAAATTATCCTTCAAATTATCCAAATTCCAACAATAATCAATTGTTTGAATTGAGTCCATTGTATCATTAACTTTTATGTTTTTTTATATGTTTGTATCATGTATTTAAATTTTCATAATGTAATTTGTTTTAATAATATTTATTTTAGTCTTAATTTTTAAATAACTATTTACAAAGATAAATTAAAAAAAATAAACTAAAAATTTTAAAATATTTAGGTTATTTAGTTTTTAAGTTAATTACAATCGATATTATTATTAATATATATTTATTAAACTGAAAATGAATTAAAATAACTAGTGGGGTAGGGAGTTGAATTTTATTAAACAAAACTATTATAGAGGTGAAAAAGTAATATGTGTTAAATAATTAGGTGGAAGAGAGAGAAGGTGATGTGGAGTGTTAAAAGAGAAAATTAGGGTGTTGAAAAATTTGGCCATTGTAGATAGCTTTATATTAGGTGATTGA